TAAGCTGGCAGGACTGGCCTAAGGGGTATTTTTAGTTGGGTTTTAAAACAATTTTTAAAATAACAAAGGCCAAATTAATATTTCCTTTTAATTACGTTTTAACGGTAGTATTTTTGTACTTTTGTATTTGTTTTTATTAGGCTGTTAGCCGCCCTGAGTCCGCAAGGAGAAGGGCGGGGTAAAAATATAATAAATAAAATAAATAAATAAAATAAATAAATAAAATAAGAATAATAAATTGCAACATTAAGACTTGTGGCTAAACCTGATTGTGGAAGCTATCTCTTCAACTTTGAAGTTCCAGGACAGAAAATATTAACATTCTGTTTTCTCAAGCATAAACACAGACATATTTAATAAAGATAAAGATTTGTTGGATGTCTATTCTTATACATACTCATACACCTACATAGGGATACTAAATGTGGAAAACTCATGAAGTGGTGGAATACGTGGAAAAGAATATCTTATCATTAACGTCACTATGAACTAATTTTATCAATCAAAAATATATTCCATCTTTTTCTCCTTAATGAACCTCCTGATAAGATTAAAGAGAAAGGGGGAAGGTTAGACCTGGAAGAGGATGTTGTTTGAACCTCTACACATTCCATGAATAGAGGTAATCGACTTATTGAAAAAAATCTTATTGTGGACAAGTGCAATTGATTTTTGAAATTGGTTCTTCCTATGTTTATTTGAGTTGTGTGGGTGTATAAAAATATTTTCATTTATGGCCAATTGCAGTGAGCTGTGGTCACATGGTTGCAATTTTCAGTATTTTTTGGCTACTTTCTGGTGTTTACATCTGTTTCTGGCAAAAAAACAACAACCCACCCATTGATGGGTTCACTTAACAATTGCTGTGTTCTCTTAACACTCCATTACAGGAAAGGTTGTAAAATCAGGTGCAGTCACATTGGGACTCTCTTAACAACTACAGTATCATGATTTAAAACCATAAGTCTAGGCTCAATTACAGTTGTAAGTTGGGGATTACCTGCACACCTAGGAATGACTGTTTTACCTTGAGCTGGGAATGAGATGAGGCCAATCGTGGGAAAAGGGTAGGATTGTTAGAATATGATGGAGTTCTGGTAAACCACAAGTGTGGGATGTAGACTTACTTCAAAGAGCACATTAAAATGTGTTTGCCAGGTATCTGTGAATGTTGGCTAAAATGTGATAGGCTAGTTTGTGACTCGGTACGTCAAATGAACTTCACAGCCATTGTTTCTGTGGATACTTCCAGCATGGCACCACTTTTCCATGGACACCTGCACACTATCAGCATAAGAACACACACCACACTGCAGCCTCCCCAAAGCAATATGAAGTAAATGGTTTTGACTGCCATTAAGAGAAATTCTAAGAACTGGGTGAGCCAATTAGTCCTTCCTTTCAATTGTGAGGAGGAGAGTGTGACCAACAGGGTTCAGTCAGTGGTAGCGTCTCCAGTCTACACCTTTACAGTAGTTCATGTTGTGGGAGAGATGTTAAGCATCTACCGTAAGATATTACCACTTTTATAGCAGCAACTTTGAGATGGATGGACTTCAACTCCCAGAATTCCTCAGCCACCTTGCTCTAGTCTACACTACAGTATTGCCTGTAGCTGCTGAACCTTTATTGAGAACACGGGATTCTGGGGGAGAAGAGATTTGAAACAAATGAAACCATTGCTTTATTTTGCAATTTTGGGTACACGGCAGCTGAGCCAGAAATAAATTGACAGACAATGATGGCAGACCACAGATACATGGAGCAGAGTGCACACCTGAAGTTGTCCTAGCACATGGACCAATGTTATGTTTAGTTGGTATTGTAAAGAGCTCCTAAATAGTTATTTACTAGGAGAAATTGGCCTGGCATTGGAATAAGAAATGTTAACTTTTTAACAGCTTCCTTTCACTGTGATGCAACAGTTCTTTATGTGTCAGATTCACAGTGAAGACATTGCAGGGAGCCTGAAATGGTTGAAAGGCAACAAATAAACCGGCCAGAGCTTCAAAACATTATGGCTGTTTCCTTGCTTTCTACCTTACACTGGGCACTCTATAAACAGGTTTCCAAAAGACGCAGCCCAGATTCAGCTTGCCTCGAAGCCCAACTATTGCGCATTAAGGGAGGACTTAAGGATGGGAAGAAGACGAAAAGCATTTTGCTGGCTGGGTTTGAACGTGGCCGTTTGCAGATACGCTCGGTTGATAAAAGGCCGACTGTTTGTGCCCGAGGTGTCCGTTTGTTTTGCGGCGGTACCAGCCAGCCTGTGCAATGAAATCGCAGGCCTCAACACCTACGCCAACTGGGTTTTTATAACACACACACACACACACACACCGCCCTTTGGATGTTTTCCCTCGCTTTCTTTCCTCAACGCAGACTGGCTGCTTCCCTCCGGCCGTCGCCTGGCAGATGCAAAGCCCGATTTCCCCCAGGGAAAATTGACGCGGGTGGAGAGATCCTCCCTCCCTTCTCCTCCTCCCACGGAGCCCCCTCCCGCCCGCCCACGCAGCCGCCACCAGCCAAGCAGAAGGTGGTCCTATTTTTGGCCGCGAGAAGAGGGCCTCCCCTAAGAAAAGTGAAAGCCGTGCCTCGGCTCCGCGGCGTGCGTCACACTTTGCAACCCCGAGCAGCAGCAGCAGCAGCAGCAGCAGCAGAGCGGTAGTCGCCGCCGCCGCCGCGCGCGCCTGTGTGTATGGGTTTCGCGGGGATGCGAGTCTCTCTCTTTCTTTTTCTTCCCCCCTTTTTTTTCTCTTTCGCCTCTCCAGCTAGTTGGATCCCTCCGTCCTCCTCCTTCCCCGTTTTCCCGCAGGTCCCGCTCGCCCCGCACGCCTGCCTGGCGAATCCCCAAACAACCGACGGCTGAGCTGCTGGAGCCTTTCGGTCCCCCGACAGGTTCCGAGCGGGGAAAGGAAGGGCAGAAGAAGGGCTGGCGACGGGGGGAGAACGAGAGCCACGGAGCCGGAGGAGGGATGAAGGGGAAGCCGTCTCGCTCGGGTTCTCCACGCAGATGTTCCTCGGCTCGGTAAAAACGCGGAGATTCCCGCCTGCCCGTTCATGATTTGGGCTGCGCTTCTTCCTCTCGCCCTCTTCCTTCCAACCGGCCGGAACCAGAGCGGATCCAAAGGATGGGCCGAGCCGACCGGCAACCCGTTGGAAGACCCGCGGCAGTTTTCCTGTGCCTTTTCTCCGCCCTGTTGCTGACCGATGGGAGCAGACCGGGGAAGACCGCCTGCCCGGCTTCGTGCACTTGTACCAAAGATAACGCGCTCTGTGAGAACGCCCGGGCGATTCCGCGCAGCGTGTCGCCCGACATTACCTCCCTGTAAGGGGCTGTAGGCAGTGGGGGGAGGACAGGGGGCTTGTCGGTGGATCGCGCAGAGGGTCTCGGGTGGGCGCTTCGGCCGGCCGGAGGGAAGACCCGCTGGGATTGTAAAGCAGCCGCCGGGATGGAGGGGGAGAAGCGGGGAGCGGGTGTTGGAAGGGCTAGAAGTTGGATCCCTCTGCGCGTTTCTCTTAATGCAACGCCGTCTGTTGCTCGGCGGCGTCGATCTTGCAACAACCATTCCCCCCCCCCCGTCCCCCGCTGGAAATTGTCACTCCTGTTGACGGGGACAGTTAACCAGCCAGGGCTTGGTGACAGAACGACTCCCCGACAAGCTCGGACGCTGTTAACCTCTGCTTTGCTTTCTTTCCCCCTCTTCCCCCCCCCTCCCGTTTTCCTCTTCTTCCAGATCCTTTGTGAGATCTGCTTTCACGAAAATCCCAGAAAGGAGTTTCATCTTCTCGCCCAATCTGCAACTTCTGTGAGAACGGTTTATATGGTGATTGCTTGTTATGAAACGTGTCTCTCTCTAAAAGCGCTCCACTAACGGGCTTTAAGTACAGTACTTGTTTTATATGGAGGAGCTAGTGCAGAGCTATTATATAACAAAATGTACCTAGCGTTTCCAGTGGAAGTAATTAAAGGTGTGTCATACCTAGCAGATTATTATTACTGATATTTTCTTCACTGTCTTGATCTGTTCTTTTGGTGCTTTAGTATCACCACCACTCTTAGTGGAATGCCTATTTGGTAAATGTGAATTCTAGTTAGGGCAATGCCACCATGTTCCCCTACGGTGTGCACCGCCCTACCGTGTACTGTCTTTTCTGAGGCTGGATAATGGGTCTTCATAAATCATTTGTCTACGCTTTCAGAATTAGTGCTGCTGAATGTTAAGAGTTGTGGCTGACTAAACAAACTTGCTTCTCTCAGAAAGGAAACATGGATTTCAGTGGAGCAATTTTATAAGCAAGCCTCATGTCAGTGATATAGATAGATCCTTCATATTTGTGATTTGTGTGAGGATTGAAGAATGTTGGCTGCAGTAAACACAGCCGAGAAATATTTCTTTGGTTAGCATCATTTGATCCTGCAGGAAAAGCCCAAGTTCTGTGGAAAAAATGCAGTCCATAAATTAAGATACATCTGATTCAGAAACCTGTCAAGAAATACAACTTCTTTTTTTAAAGAAGAATCTTAAATACCCAGGCTCACACAGGGTAGACTATGTGAATTGGCCTAGGGCATAATTTTGCTCTAGCGTTAAGCATTATGTCTGACTGATCATTATCCACTTCTGATGCTGATACTCTGTCAGTGAGGTGATGTCCTTTTCTTTCTCACCTTATATACTGGGAGCTGATCAGACAGAATGTGCTCTCAGCTGAGGTTTCAATCCCAAACAAATGAGTAAATATAGTTACCATGGGAACGATACAGTTTTTCCCAGATCTTTTTCAGAATAAAAAAAAACATAATCAGGAATAGGGCAAGAATCTCACCTTATCGCGCTGGGAAGAAAAAAGATAATGAAAAAAGATATGTTTCTCCATAAAGGGGAAGACCCATGGCGGCTATTTAGTCATGAGTATGCCAATGTGCCATCTCAGCAGGCTTTGTCGTGACCTTTTTGTAGATGGAAATGGTAGATTTTAATGTGAGTAGATATAAATCATACCTTTGATATATAGATGTACAATTTGGGTCCAGAATCTCATTGGCAATGAGAAACGCAGATTGCTTGGTATTTATGATCTGTAACTATTGATCATAGGGCATTTCAGGATACCGATTTTCTCATCTTATTTTTGTATAGATGATGCCACATTATTTCTGATTCATATTCTGCCTGTTCAGTGCAAAATACTAGCTCTCCTTTGTGATTTTTGGAAAGTAAGATTGTTATTGAAGGAGAGGTGGGATTTTGAAGCCATTTGCATTTGTGCCTTGTGATTTTGATAATTTCTGCGTTGGTGGAACTAGTGTTCCCACTTCCCAAGAATAATTTTTTAAGAAAACCATGTTCAGAATATGGAAACTGTATTGGCAAGGCTAAAAGATAGAATGTAATTCCCAAGGAATATGCAGTATAGATCAGGCTTCTTTGACTTGGCATCTTCTAGTTTTGTTGAACTACAGCTCCCATCCTCATGTTGGCTGATAAAAGCTATAGTCCAAGATCTCAGGAGGGCAATAGCTTGTTGAAGAGTGATGACAGTTATAACAGAAAAAGACAGGTGGAGCTCCTTTAAGGGAGGTGTCAGGCACACATTTGTACAAGTAGCCTTCGAGTTATAACCACAATTAAGCCCAAAATTTCTGTTGCTAAACGAGTCATTTGTTAAGTGAGTTTTGCCCCATTTTATGACTTTTCTTGCCACAGTTGTTAAGTGAATCAAGTGAAAAATGGTCATAAGTCACTTTTTTCAGTGCCATCGTAACTTTGAACGGTTACTAAATGAACTGTTGTAAGTCGAGGACTACCTGTAGTTAGTTTGTGCTTCCTGATTGAGTCTGAACTGTTTTTGAAATAGTATGAAAAAGGGGAGAGGGTTTTCAAGAATCCCCCCTCTCCCAATCGAAAGGCTACAGAAACTGAGACTAGCCCTGAACATATCAAGAGGCACAATCTGGTCCACAATAAATCACAGTTAAAAAACAGGCACACAAAAGGACAGGAAATTTGTAATGGAAATCTGCTGAACACATATCAAAGGCTTCAAAATTGGGGAGAAAGACCTCCAAAATCAGGAGCCGTATACATCTTGAAAATTAAAACTTTCAACAGATATATTACAAGTGACTCTTAATCACATTCTCCATAATATTCTTGTGATCATTTTGTTTTTATACCACCATCGTCCCTTTTTATTATCAAGGCGCAACACATTTCCTTCTCTGGCTCCTTCTCTTAAAATTTTAAATATAGAATCATAGATGGCTTCTCCAGTGAGTTTTTAAGGGGAATACTTGGGGATCTAAAGGCCCTCAGGGCAATGAGTAAGACAGATGCGTACAGAACTTATTTAGAGCAAGGGTCCTCAACCTTGGCAACTTTAAGAGAGTTGAAGTCCACAAGTCTTAACAAGTTGCCAAGGTTGAGGACCCCTGCTTTAGAGGGAGGGAGGGATTGGAAGGAAGGAAGGAAGGAGTGCTAATAGTGAGATGAGACAAGGAGAACAGAGATAGGTGGAATGAGGGAGCAATGAAAAAGAAAGATCACAGAAAGGAGAGCAAAACTAGCTTGGAAGCTCCTAGGCCACTGGTAACAACCTGTGGTATTCGAACCCCCAAGGCTCCATTCGGATGGGGAAAGCAAAATATTTAGTCCAATTTTTGAGGTTATTGGGAATGAAATGAGTGTCTTAAGCTTTACCTATGGCCAGGGCTTTTTTTGTCATAGAATGCCCAGAACGGAGTTCCGGCACCTTTTTTGGATGGAACCTTGTAGGGTAGGCAAGGCGGGTTATATAACGTGTGTGAATTCCGGCACCTTTTTTTTTTTAATACAAAAAAAGCACTGCCTATGGCGGTCCTATTGCCTCTTTAAAACATGCATCTCACGACTCAAACTGGGATTATTTTTCTAACTGAGGAACAAAGTGGGTATTTGAAGATTCTGCTTAAGGTACTTATTTCAACCTTTAACCCCTCCCTTAAATCAGCAGATATATTGTCCCCTAACTTATGCATCACATGCCACAATCCCTGAATGCCACGCAACCACCACAAAATATATTGCCTATCTCATGAAGAGTCATCTTAATCCTCAGAGAATCACTGCAGGAGGGAATTGCAGAGTGGATGACCCAAACAATATCCCTGGCTGCAATTGATCTATGATCTCATTGAGAATTGATAGATCTGATGAAACTTTTATTCCACAAAGGATAAGTGACTAAAATAAAAGTCATCAAGCAGGGAGGGAATGAAGTAAAATTCTACTAGCTCTTGGACATCTGGATGATAGCCAGGACCAAATTTTCTTTTCTTTCAGTGTTGAAGAAAAAAAATGTAAGGCATTAGTAAAATACTGGGCCAATATTAGAGATTAATACTTCAAGAAAATTTTAAAATAATAAAGCACCTCTTTGCTACTTCTATTTCTATGTTTTAAATCTAATTGCATTATGCACACTGAACTTTGGAGTAAATAAAACTACCGGTATAACCAAAAGTCTTAACATTTTTAATTTGGATGTATATATATTTGATTTTTTAAAAATAAAATTAAAAATCTTTGAAATTGCATTTTTCAGGATACAGTCAGTCTTTCAAAAGTATGCATTTCATTCTGTTTTTAAAAACTGTACCAATTACAATCTTAAGTTATAAAGACTTTCGTAAATCTACCTTGCTTACTTTAATTTATGTAGTAACTCTTTACAGGATAATTTATTTAATATAAATTGCTTAAACTTCCCTTAAGTAAAAAAGGAAATATCAGGGGAAAATAATGCTTAAGTTTAACATATAAAATTTAATTATCAAGAAGATAATAGCTGTAGCAGTGCAGAAAAATATTAAAATATTACTCCGTTGATCATGTAAGTTGCACTGGTCCAGGGAGTTAAGTAGCATGTGTATTGCAAAAAGCCTTTTCAGGTGCAAATATCACATTGGTAGGAGCATTTGCTAAAAATAGAAACAATTATAACCCTCTGATCCAGTTGATGGTTCCTTATGGAGTGAAGTTAGATACCTTTTCTGCTGTGTAAGGTTATATGTTATTGTTTAAATGTAATTAACTACATCTCTAATTTGGCCCCATCATATTTTTGGGAATTTTTCTATAGTATGTACGATATCATGGTAGTGTATGAATTGGAGAGGATTATACTTTTCCATCTTAGACACTTAACAGAGGTGGGTTGTACATTGCTCAGTTATTCACAACTGGAGCAGCCTATAGACTAATGAAATAAATAAAATGCAGTACATGTAAGCATGTCCTTCTCATCTCCTTTCATGGGTATTAAAAGGTTAAAAAAAAGAAAGAATTCTGCTATTGCCTCAGGATTATTTTTTTTCTCATTTAAATTCCATGTTTGGTGGGGAGAGGAACGTCCTTGAACTTAAGTGGGAAGCAAAGGTTTAACCTCAAAGAACCAGATAGAGGAAAGCAGGGAGCAAATTCTGTCAAGAGTTGCAAACATCTGGAGGACCATGGTATGACCTCCTTGATGCCTTCTAGTGGTGACCTGGATTTCTGCAGCTCAAAATAGCAATCCTAAAATCTATATCCTATGTATAGGATATCTACATAGAAATCAGAAGACCCTGAGTTTAGTGCCCCTTTAGAGATAAAAGCCAACTGGGTGACTCAGGGCAGGTCACCCTCTCTCAATCCAGCCCATCTCACAGAGACAATGTTGGCTCCCTCGGCCAAGAAATAGAGATGAGCACCATGATTGGACAGGGAAACACCTCCCCCCCTCTCTCTCTCACACACACACAGATATAGACATAGATATATAGCTGATGTTCATCAAAAACACTTACATTTGTGGTTCATTTACGGATAAAAAACCCCCACACCATTTTGCGTGTTTGATGTGGGCCTAAATTATGTTCCTTTTGTTGGAATGAATAGCAATGCTTTCCCTTGCAAAAGTTCCACATGCGGTTGAGAATAGTGTTGGCGCTCTCAAATGGGAGCTATTATGTAAATTGCAGCAATTTGCATTCAACTTCAAGCGTTAGAGGAAAGGATAATTTTGAAATGATATTTCTGATTGCACTGCATTTATTTCTTATAAAGGCAAACTCTAGAACAGTGTTTCTCAACCTTGACAATTTTAAGGCATGTGGACTTCAACTCCCAGAATTCCACAGCCAGCAATGCTGGCTGTGGAATTCTGGGAGTTGAAGTCCACATGCCTTAAAATTGTCAAGGTTGAGAAACACTGCTCTAGAACTTCGAAGGAGACATTGTGGAGTTGTAGGAAAATACTCAGAAATGCCAGTTCTTTAAATTATGGCATATTTAGTCAATATCATGAAACGGTTTCATATATATTATATATATTTGTATCTTGAAGCTCTAGATCAGCTAGGAAATGTAGTTCTAACACATCTTGGAGGATGTAAGGTTGGAGAAAGCTAATCTAGACTGTGTGTGTCTATTTCATTTTGTTAGGACATATGCAGAGCAGGAACTATAATCTTCATCTCTAAAAATAATCAAGCATTGAAAAATCTATGTATGTCTAAGACCATGTCACTATACTTTTTGTCTAATATTTCTTTCTACAGATTATTTACTGCAAACACATTTGACACCATTAGTAGCGATGCTTTCTTGGGCCTTCCTCATCTAGAATATTTGTGAGTTGAAATATTTATGGTCCAAGATTTTTTGAGTGAGTCAAATGCCTGAGATGAAGATAGCTTTGACCAGTTGCATTTATAATCCCATTACAGGTTTATAGAAAACAACAACGTCAAATCACTTTCCAACACTTCTTTTCGCGGGCTGAAGTCCTTAATTCACTTGTAAGTATGTTTGTTTGTTGGTTTGTTTAAATGTATTGGCCATCCAACTCCACCGTACAAAACCAGGGAAAACAAAAGAATATCTAAATGCATTAAATTACATAGGCACCCAGACTAAAATAATCTAATAGACAGCAAAAGCAACAAAACAAAGCAGGCACCATTGAACAAGTAATAAACTTCAACCCCAGGCCTTGGACCAATCCAGGTTTTCAAAACTTTCCAGAAGCTCAGGAATGAAGATTTTGTCCTTATTTCTCAGGGATGCTGCAACAGAGAGGGCACACTTCCTCGGTTGTGCAAGGTGGCAGTGTTTACTGGAGAGGACCTGGAGAGGACCTTCTCTGCTGAAACATACTGGGTGGGCAGAAATATTGGAGATAAGCAGTCTCAGATATCTGGGCCCTATCCGATAGAGGATTTCATAGATAATAACCAGCAACTTGAATTGCACTTGAAAGCCAACTGGCGGTCAATGAAGCTTCCGTAGCAGTGGTGACACATAGGAACACCGAGAGGCATCTGTTACTGCTTGCACTGCTGCATTCTGAACCAGCTGTAGCTTCCAAGTAGTCTTCAAGGGCAGCCCCATGTAGAGTGCATTGTAATAATCCAATTGTGAGATACCAGGCCATGAATGATTGGCTGAAGAGCCTCCTGATTGAGGAAGGGGTGAACTAATGCACAAGATGAACCCATGCAAAGGCTCTCCTGGTCACATCTGACATCTGCTCTCTGAGCAGTAGCTATGAGTCCAGAAGGACCCCCAAGTTGCATACCAGTCTTGACTGAGGAAGTGCAACCTCATCCAAAACCAAAGATGCTGACATCCTCAACAGCCACAGCAAGGATTGAGCTGAAGTCTGTTTGGTCCTATTTAGACCGTAATAGCCTCCAGATACTGAGTCAATACATTAATAGCCCCTTGGGTTGAAATGTAAAGTAAGGTATCAGCATACTGATGATATTGCACTCTGAATTGGATGTCCTTGCCCAGTGGTTTCATGTAGATGTTGAACAGGGATGGGGACAGCATCTAGTCATGCGGTACTCTATACAAGAGAGACCATGGAGTTGATCTTCTCCACTCCCATCAACACAGACTGAAACTGACCGCTAAGGAAGGAGATGAACCACTTGTGCATAGTGCTTCCTGTGCCTAACCTCTGCAGCCAGTCCAGAAGGATACTGTGGTTGATGGTATTGAAAGCTGCTAAGAGATCTTGGATCTCTAAAATGGATACACTATCCCCATCCCAGCTCTATCGAGTGCAACCAATGCTGTCTCTGTACTACACTCTGCCTGAAATGGGTCCAGATAGTGTGTTTCCTCTAAGATCCTCTGTAGCTCTCATCCAACCCACATTATCCACAACCTTTGCCAGAAAGGGAAAATTGGAAATTGGCTGATAATTCTCCAGCAGGTAAGGGTCTAGCCATGATCTCTTGAAGAGTGGCATACCACCCCCTCTCCAAGAGGCCAAAACCACCATATGAACCCTTCCTGTGTTCATCTCCCAGGCTGTTTTAATAACCCAGGAAGGGCCAGGATCTAACAAAGATTTACTCTTTGTCCTGTTTGCACTAATAGTTCAGAATGCCATCATCCTATTTGCCTTTGTTTAGAAGTAAACCCCATTGCATCCAATGGGAGGTGCTCTCAGTGTGTATAGGAGCATTTGGGGCCTCCTGAAGTTACCACTGTTGCTGACTTGGAGGCTATTCATATGTTAAGTGTCTGTGTTTTACATATTTATTGTAACACACACACACACACACACACACACACACACACAAAGACACTTACAGTATGGGGAGAAACTTCATCACTGTCATTCTCCTTCCAGCTGACCTGCTCTCTCTGCACTATTAGCAATGAGAAGCTCTTAAGTTCTGAGCAGTGACCCAGAAGTGACTCTGTGCAGCTTCTCTCTTTGCTCTAGAGACTCTGCACCAAAATCCTGCCTAATATTGGTTCAGCAGATTCCTTTGATCAGATGATTGACAGAAGAGGAGGGCCTTTTTACAATTATATATAGATCCACTGAATGCTCAGGAATTAGTTGTAAATATATTACCCACCAATCCAAGGAACCATAAACCTAGCTTTGCACATGGGCAGTTGTGGTTGGGGTTTTTGAACACCCACGTATTCACCAGCAGTTGAGGTCAACTCCAGAGACTTTTTACCATTATCTTCTTGATTCGAAAAAGTCAAGATGATGGCCACAAGTTCTTTTAAATTGTGGAACTATTACTGGTATCATGGTATTTTGCTAATAAAGGGCTTTAAAAAAACCTAAGTCCTTGGAATTGGCCTGTGGATAGACCTTCAGTAATAAGTTGGAACTGAGTCAATGTAATACAGACATTTTTTGTGTAATAAATAGTTTAGTCATCTTCCCATTTAAGAATATGAATAATAAACAGCATAATGACAGCAAATGTATTACTGTTATTATTTTCTCGGAAGGGTATGATGTTATGGAAATCTCCTATGCTAGCAGAAGTGCATCCGTGGGTGGAAAACAATTTGAATGTGATCATAGATGAGACAAGCCATGGCTACAAAGCTATTGCAACTGATATTCTTGAGCAGTATTTCTCAACACTGAAAAACATGCTGGCTGAGGAATTCTGGGAGTTGAAGTCAACACATCTTAAAGTTGTCGAGGTTCTACTGTTCTACAGGTGGAACTGCTATTAAGGTAGAATTTGAGGACAGAGGATGCTTAAAATACCCCGAAATCTTTTTCATTGTTAACAGTAACAGTAAAAACAATAAAATAGAGCACTGATAATATTACCTAATTTGGGTGATGAAACATCTGCAAGAAAGCAAGGAAGCACAGAGAGCACCAAGGATCCCTCATTTCAACCCTGAGCTACAAATATTCTCCTTTGTTGGTAAAAACACAAGGATTGTGGTTAAGAGTTTGGCAAGACAGCAGAGAGCTGGAAAAGCTTAGAACAATAGGGAGTGTGGATGTAATATTTTAATATGAATTGTGTCTTTTGAGGTATAATAAATAAAGAGTTCCATATTACAATAATATTAGCATTACTAGTATTGCTATTACAACTGATTATAATAGTGAATCACATTGTAGCAATGCATATGTTATTATTTGCCATTCTAGTAATTCATTAAACAGGAAACAAAGAATGCAAGATTAATCTAACCCTAATTATATTTTTTACAGGAGTCTTGCAAACAATAACCTCCAAACGCTCCCTAAAGACATATTCAAAGGATTGGATTCACTAACAAATGTGTAAGATACATTTTTAATATTCCCATTATGAATGAAAAGGAAAAAAAAGCCCATCAATACTTATTATGGAACAACTGCTCATACAATGGGCCTGAAGTTATCTGCTTTATACCCACCAAGACCATTATCATCAATTATCTCATTCATCTAATAGATTTTTTTCTATTTAGGAGCATTCCTCACAGCAGTTTTCTGCAAGCTGGCAGCTGGCAAATGCATGTGCCAGATTGCAGAACGGTGCCGCAGAATATCTAAAACAAGTTTGTCCCCTACAGTAATGTGTTTCTGTGGCAACTTATCTCATAGGCAGATTTTCTTAAAATTATATCTCTGCATTTTTTATAATTGTCAAATTGCCCTGCAAGAGAGGGAGAAAGAGAAAACTACTTCATATGCTTGGAAAGTACACTCTTCATAAGCTTTCCTAGAAATGGGAATGGAATGAATTTCTCAGCCATGTCTACTGAGAGCGTTAGCTGTTCTCTATGAGCTAATTTAGCCAGAGCCATTCCCACCGGCAAGAGAGCCAGCTGCTTTAAACAATTTGCTCTGCAGCAGGGGTCTTCAAACTTGGCAACTTTAAGACTTGTGGACTTCAACTCCCAGAATTCCTCAGCCAGCCTGGCTGAGGAATTCTGGGAGTTGAAGTCCACAAGTCTTAAAGTTGCCAAGTTTGAAGACCCCTGCTCTGCAGTGATAAAAGCTGCTGCAGTGAAATCAGGAAACCAGACTCTACCAGGGAGGCCCTCCTGTTTGCTTCCTGGACATTGAGAGGCATGGAACTTATAGCAAACTGCTGGAAGAATTTGCATTTGAAAATTTGAAAATTCTTACGGGAAGTCACATCTTTTTTCTTACCATTTTTCATGGCACTAATGTGCCTTCATCTCATATCTTGCCTATCTGTGAATGAAGCAGACTTAACTGGCTCTGGACTGTTAATGAATACTAAGTATATTTTCCCTCTTAGAATAAGGCCAAGGTGAAATAAACATTTGTGGTCCCACCTGAGGCATGAAACCAGCTGGGTAACCTTGGCCCAGTCATTCTCTCTCAACCCTAGGAAGGAGGCAAGGGTAAATCACTTCCAAAATCTTACTGAGAAAACGGCAAGGTTTAGTCCAGGCAGTCACCACTATTTTCCTTTGGATACTGCTAGAATAAGAGGGAAAATATTCTAAATATACTAAACAGCCAAGGGCCAATTAAGTGTGCTTTGTTCACAAGTAGGCAAGACATGGAGCGAAGGCCTATTTGTGCCACGAATAATTGCAAGTAGGGAATGGCCTCTTGGTACCTCATTTTCTCTTTCTGGCACCTGCTTCTCTCTTTTGCAAGGAAATTAGGCCAAGAGCTGCCATCTGGCTCTAAGGCAGCAATTTGTCCATACATAGCTTTATGATTGCATACGGGGGCCTTTGAGTTAGTATTGATTCCTGGTAACTCCCTGAATGAATCCCTGCATTTTTTGTGGCAAGGCAGGAAACCCTATACAATTGCCAGCCCTATACTGCCATTTCATGCAAATGCAACTAGATGAGAAGAACATCAAAAGATAAAGTTACATCTGTCCACCCCAAATAACTTAATGATTACAAGAAATGTTCAAAATGAGGCAGATACCCCCCACAATAAAGTGACCCGGTATTCCAGCAGAAAACAGGCTGAAATGTATGCAATAAAATAAAACTGCACAGAGAACAGGCATTTTCCTTAGCATCTGGAAACATATTTGTGTTTGCACAAAGTATGTCTATCAAGATCTAGATAACATCTGAGAAGAATAAAATGAGCTAGGATTATTAATGGGAAGGACATGTACCAAAGTATTATCTATCTAAATCAGTTGGGCTTAATTTCCTGAACTTGGCTCTTCTTATTTTAGCGTGAAAGAGCAACCGCAACGTTTGAAGATATTTTTGCTTTTAAAAGGGCATTGATAAAATTGATATTATTTACATGACATCTAGAATAATTAGCTGGAATGTCACATGGAAAGTTGTTTTAAATTCGTTTCCTGTAAGCTTAAAATGAGTTTTTAACAGAAAAGAAAGTTTTGTCTATTGGACACTACAGCAATTATTTAATAAAAGATTAGTTGCAATTGCTTTTCTGTTGGAGATACATTTTGGACTTGAAATATTAATTCATATGATTTGTATTATTGTATTTGATCTGAAATATACATAATTCTGGTCTTCAGAATTTAGCAAGACATCAAAAAATTATGGACTTTGTGGTATAGGGACTGGCTAAAGAATGCTAAGACAAGATGGAAAAAAGACATCTACAACTATATGGGGCAGTGGGTCATTGACAGTCATTATTGGTCAACTTATGAATTACTGTAGTTGCTGTTGATTGGTTGGTCAGTTTGAGAAAGAGGCAAGGAAAAGACTTTTGGGTACCCGTGTTCAAAGTTTTTAGAGTTCTGTTGGAATATTATTTTCCAGACATTTTTCTTTTCTGTTTTTAATCTGAATATATTTTAAGCAGATAAAGTTATATTAATTGTATTCTTCTTCTTTAGTAATTAGTTTCTAAAATCATTTAAAAGAGGTAATTTTACATTTGCAAAGAAGAAAACAATCTTAAAGCTTTTTTGCTGTATCAAAGGATTTTATTTCTTTCCAGATCCAAATTAAGCCTGAAGGAATTACTCAACTAGAATAAGAAGGAAAAAAAGAGCCCCCAGAGGCAACATTCTCCATACATAATCTAGGCAAAAGCATCTGCAAAATTGGATGCTTTTGTCAAAATAACAAAAACAGCATTGCATTGTCATTCTACAATCTCTGCCCCTTTTGTACATGGGTATAACACCATAATTCACATACAAAAGAGGGAGGTCTTGCAGTATGATGATATGGTGCTGTTTTCATTTTAGTTCCCCCTTGACCCATGCTGTGCCTCTCCATCCAGAAATATAATAAAAGGGTGCTTAATTCAGTGTAAGGTTTTTATCTCCCTCCCTTCTCTCTCTTAGGAAATGTAATATACATTTGCTTTTTTAGACCCTTAGGTTGTTTTTTTTTAAAATACAGGCTTGGTTTCTTCCTTAAAACGCATTGTCTTTCATGCAATAGTGATCTAAAAATATTATAAATTGATAATCAGTTTTTTTAAAAAAACAAATGGTAGTTTTTAAATTATAATATTTCAAAAACATTGTTTCTGTCCAGAGACCTGAGAGGAAATGCTTTCAAATGTGATTGCAAATTGAAATGGTTAATTGCATGGATAAGCAGAACAAATGCAACAGTGGAAGATATTTATTGTGAAAGTCCACCAGAGTATAAGAAACGCAAAATCAATAGCCTCTCTCCTAGTGAATTTGATTGCATCATTACACGTAAGTCTTCAATATGTCTTCTATTTGTTTCATTAAGTTTTATTCTTCAAGGGCAATTGCCTTTTGGTTGAGCAACCGGTCTTCTATCAGGTTAATCTATTTATCTACCTAGGCCGAATATTGCCTGCCTTTTATTCACAGCAGCTTTCAAGATCTCAGACTCTTCTCCGTTGTGTTGAGATTTTTCTCTCCATCCTTCTCTGTAGGAGAATGAACCCACACAATGATTTCCCAAAGGTGCTTTTTCAAAAGGCTAATGGACTTTGTTTTTGCTGAAAACGTATCGCTTCTCATTGCTTCAGAACTGAAGAAGCTTCTTGGATGAGAAGAGAAACGTCTTCAAGGAAAAACAAAATCCAGTTGCCTTTTGAAAAAATGCACCTTTGGGACAACCATGACCTGGATGATTGAGAATCTCCATAGACACCTACACAATGGTTGTGTGGCCTGGTTCACCTATTGCCCTAAATCTTAATGAGATTCCATTGATTTTGGCATAGACTTGTGTGTGATTATCTGTAACTTACTTTCAGAAGCCATAGTGAAGCAAATGATAGTTCAGTGTGCGAAATCAGCTGCACACTACAAATTCCTTATAATATAGAAATTAAGCAAAGCTGGGTAGGAAATCTCAACTCTATGGGATGGTTTTAATATGTAGGGTCTAACTGGCCAAAACTGTTTTATTTGTCCTCATGCTTGGAGAAGATCAAGATTTCTCATTCCACAGTAACTGAAACTGTCTTATTTGCAATATTGGGCCCTAATTACATTTTATGAAAATCAGTGTGACTGCTATATTCATAATTTTCATCCCAGGGGGCTAGTAACAAAGAAAAGGGCTGTTTAGTCTGGCGGTGAGCAGCAAAATTAGAAGCTGGAAGGTCAAATGTTCTAGTCCTACTTTAGGCCTGGAACCCAACCCAGCTTGGTGACTCTGGGCCAGTCACTCTCTTTCTTTCTCTGCACTAGGAACAAGATATTGGCAAGCCACTCCCAAAAATGTTGCCAAGGAAACGACAGGGATTTATCCTTGTAGTCAGCAGGAGTCAGATGTGACTTGATGAACCATAACAACCACAGTAGGAATTAGGCTAATTAGAATTGGCTATGATTCAAGCATGAATGCTATTCTCTGTTAATAAACATTTTCATCTTTTGTTGTTTTTGTTGACTAAAGTCTAATAAGCAGGAGAAATTGATTTATAAAATACCAGTGCCTTGAATAAGTGATTTACTTTTTACAATAACATTCCAACGAGTAAATACCAACTTTTAGTATGTACTTTTTTCAGAATTTGTTGTATTTCGAAAGTTGCCATATCAGTCCCTGTCAGTGGACACTTTCTCATTCATGAATGATGAATATGTGGTTATCGCGCAGCCTTTTATCGGAAAATGTATTTTTCTGCAATGGGACCATGTGGAAGGGACATTCAGGAATTTTGATAACATCACAGGTATTAACAGTTGATTTCTTTGAACTTTGTGTGGCCTTATCATAATGCCAGTTGATGATACACTATATCAATCTTTGTGCAGGGACTTCAGTGGTTGTCTGTAAGCCGATCATTGTTGAGAATCGCTTATACATCATTGTTGCCCAGCTCTTCGGTGGCTCCCATATATACAAAAGAGACATTCATGCAAACAAATTTATCAAAATTCAGGATATTGAGATCCTTAAGATCAGAAAGCCTAATGACATTGAGACATTCACAATTGTAAAGAATGCATACTTTGCAATAGCAGATAGTTCAAAAGCTGGCATCACCACTGTCTATAAGTGGAATGGAAATGGATTTTATTCTGACCAATCTTTGCACGAATGGTACAGAGACACTGATGTGGAGTATCTTGAAATAGCCACCAAGCCTCACCTGATCATCTCAAGCAGTTCTCAACACCCAGTCCTATATCAGTGGAACAGGGGCACAAACAATTTTGCTGACCCAGTGGATATTCCAGATATGGAAGATGTTTACGCTGTCAAACACTTCAAAGTGAAAGAAGATATTTATGTTTGCCTAACAAGATTCATTGGGGATTCCAAAGTAATGAAATGGACAGGATCCAAATTTCTGGATTTACAAAGAATGCCATCCAGGGGGTCCATGGTGTTCCAGCCACTTCAGATAAAGAATTATCAGTATGCTATTCTTGGAAGTGATTATTCTTTCACTCAAGTCTATTTCTGGGATGCGGGAAAAACCAAATTTGTCAAGTTTCAAGAATTAAATATTCAAGCGCCAAGATCCTTCACACACGTTTTTGTTGACAAACAAGATTTTCTCTTTGCATCAAGTTTTAAAGGAAATACAGTGATCTATAAGCACATCATAATTGACTTAAGTGCATGATACATACATATTTACACACATACACAAACACCCCAGGTATGGAGTCTGTTGTGAGACTTCTTCCATTAATAACAGAGACCTAACAAACTAAATGCATGACAATGATTCTCTTTACTTCCAGTCTGCGAAATGCCTTTAACAGCTGAGATTGTTGAAATAAAGTGCTACAACTAATATCTTCAACCATAAATGTCAAGTCTAGTGCTGTTTAAAATTGCAATTTTAAAAGAAGGACAAATTAAAGCATTAACTATTATTTGCAACAACAGTGTAAATGGCTAATGAAGCTCCATCCCTCCTAAATGAGTTGGAAAGCACCAATCAATTGTAATTTTTCATTATTCACTGATCTGAACATTGCCAAATAAAATGTTTACGTTTTCTTTTCTATTCTCAAATAGCTTTATTTATATAATCATCCCATAGGTAGTTTTTGCTCATGTTGAGTGGTGTCCTAGGCTCATGAAATTTCAATATTACTAGAAATGTTATATTGCACTTTGATTTAAGTCTATTACTTACACTTTTCTAAACAGAAAAAGATTGTTTGATATAAATCAATCAGGTAATTTATATGCATTCACATGTATCAAATGTACAGCTTATTTCCATGACATTCATAAGAAAAAAAATCAACTGGACTATCTCTTATGTTTTCTTCTCAATATGTACAATACTGACATAATTTCTGTCCTAGTGGGAAAGATACAAATTGCCATCTTTCTAAAACAATTAGAAATATCAGACTGTTGGCATATAAATAATAAACATTCAGGGCTTATTTATAAAATGTCTAATATGACTTCCTCACCTGGATTTTTTTTCTAAATGCACTTTTTCTAATTATTTTTCAGTAGCAGCAGTATTGCATATTTGATCATTTGAGAAGTGTTGCACAGCTACATAATGGTAGATATTGAAGAAAAATAGTATATTTTATAAGGATCATCCTTTACATGGCCATAGGTATTATTTTACCTTCGGTGTTTATTTTCTCCCACTTTTCTTTTAAAGTCTTGAGAGGTTAGAACAAATAACTAAACAAATTCCCTGTCTGTCTGTCGTATCAATAAGAAAAAGAAAAAATCACATGTGCATTTTCAGTTTATCATGACAACAGATAAAATGAGTGTGCGTCTCCTTGGGGATGTAAGAAGATTTATATTTTGTAGGAAATGCTAATATTTTAAAAGTAAAAAATAAAGTGAATATATGGTTTCTGACTTCCCAAAACTTGTTTATTGTAAAACAATGCTTGTTTTTTTTCCCCCTAGGCAATACTAAGCAGCGATATTGGCTTGGTATAGCATCCTTCAATGTGGTACCATCCAGATGTGATGGACAACAGTTGACAGATTTCCTAGCCAACATCTGTCTTGCAATGCACCTGGCAGCAGAAATAGGGGGAGACTGTTGTGTCATGCATAGGGTTACTTGTATATTTTGAGCAAGCCAAAAAATTATACAGGTAGTCCTCAACTTACAACAGTTCATCTAGTGACCGTTCAAAGTTACAAGGGTACTGAAAAAATGACTTATGATTAGTTTTCACACGACCATTGTAACATCCCCATGGTCATGATCAAAATTCAGACGCTTGGCAATCGACTCATATTTATGATGGTTGCAGTGTCACGTTTTGTGACTTTCTGATAAGTAAACTCAACAGGGAAGCCAGATTTACTTAACAACCATGATACTAATTTAACAACTACATTGATTCACTTAACAACTGTGACCAGAAAGGTCGTAAAATGAGGCAAACTCAAATGTTTCACTTAGCAACAGAAATTTTGGGCTCAGCTGTGGTCATGCAGCTGCGCGGGCGGTGATGGGAGTGACTCGTCGCTCCCATGTAACGCCGCTGCTGCGCGAGCTGCACTGGCTGCCTGTGGCCTTCAGAGTGCGCTTCAAGGTGTTGATCATCATCTTTAAAGCGCGCCATGGCATCGGACCTGGTTACCTCCGAGACCACCTTCTGCCACAGATTACCTCTCACCGGCCGATACGCTCCCACAGAGAGGGTCTCCTCAGGGTGCCGTCAACCAGACAGTGTCGGTTGGCGACCCCCAGGGGGAGAGCCTTCTCTGTTGGAGCCCCCACCCTCTGGAACGAACTACCCCCAGAGATCCGGGTGATTCCGGATCTCCCCTCCTTCCGCCGCGCCCTCAAG